AAGCAAGGAAGCAAGGAAGCAAGCAAGGAAGCAAGGAAGCAAGGAAGCAAGGAAGCAAGGAAGCAAGGAAGCAAGGAAGCAAGGAAGGAAGCAAGCAAGCAAGCAAGCACAGAAGCAAGCACAGAAGCAAGCAAGTAAGCAAGCAAGCAAGCAAGGCAAGGCAAGGCAAAGCAAGGCAAAGAAAGGCAAGGCAAAGCAAGGCAAAGCAAGGCAAAGAAAGGCAAAGAAAGGCAAAGCCAAGCCAAGGCCAGGCCAAGCCAGGCCAGGCCAAGGCAGGCCAAGCCAGGCCAAGCCAAGCCACGCCAGGAAAGGCAAGGCGAGGCAAGCAAGCAAGCAAGCAAGCAACCAGGCAAGCAAGGAAGCAAGCAAACAAACAGACAACCAACGAAAACCAAAACACAATAAAACAAACAAAACGACCACAACTCGGAGACAGCGACCTCAGGACAGGAACCCACAGCACCAGTGGGAACTGCAAACACGGGGAAGGAACCAACAAAATATGTTGCCGAAAAAGAAAGAAACATCCAACGGGAAAGAATCACAGCGTTCTGGGAACTGGAAATACTCAACCCGAAAGGGGGCGACACAAGCATGGCTGCATGACTGTAGAAAAAGGGGTTAATGCTACTCAAGAACACAAAACCGACTCAAAGAAAGACACGTCAAACCTTTCAGCTCCAAGATGCGACAAGTTCCAAGATCTCCTCAGATTTTCCCTGGGCATTGAAAAATGAGCTCGGGAGCAACAAGGCGGACAACAAAGAACAGGCCTCTGGAGCCCTTGAACAGCAAAGGTATATTCGCCATGGAAGCGCTACACCTTCCGCGATGAACCTTGGCTGATTAAGCAAAAGCCATCCAAGATGCACCTCATTCTGAGTGTCCAATCTGTGTCTCGCTGATGAGTCCAATCTGAGTTGGGAACTTCTGCAAGGCGGCTGCCCAATCAGGTGGCCATGCTTGAGCAGCACAGCTCTTGGCCGTGAAGTTCTTGTTTAGCCACCTGAGCTGAAGCTCATGTCAATACTAAAAGTCCTTTTCAGCGCTCAGGGAAGGCACACTTTTGTGCAAATGGCCTGATGATGTGACGATATGGGCACCACACTCCGGTGACAACTATGTCGAGCTTCGACTGTAACTCGAAAATCTGCGAGTAGAATGCACAAAGCAGCATCACTACTTATGGCCTGAGGTCTAAGAACTCTTCAACAATCATCTTTGGGATGTATTTAGGTCTACCTCCGCAGAACTCGTTTAGCTGCTTAGTCTTGCTGTCCGACTCTTGCCGTCTTCTTATACTGTGATTTGATATGTCCTAACTTTCAACTGACATTGCCTAAGTGACGGATGTCTGGAAGTTTCTATCTGCTACCCGCCCGAATCAACAAGTCCTGTGATTGTCCAAGTCTAAGTTGTGCATCCAAAAAGCTTGATTGAGTCTGCCAATCCTTTCCTTAGAGCAGTGCATAAAGTCAGAATTGGAACGAGCGCTCGGTCCTTCCTTCCAGGTATTGCGGTCAAGGATCTTGGGGTCCGCCTTGTTCTGGAATTGTGGGCACCAGGTCTGGCCGAACATGAGGTTTGTACACAGCAATCAGCAATTCTATCACTACACCAAGTTTGCTATCAAATCGTTACTGGTCTTGGACCAAAGTCAAATCGACGTTGAGCACCGTGACACCAGACGAAGAAAAAAGGGCCAGATTGAACCTCAGGAAGCTGGAAAAACAGGTGGATGCTTTCCGGATTTGACAGGGCACTATATAGTGCCTGCGAGTTGCGTTTCAGTCTCAGGTTCAATGACACCATTTATGAACTTGACGATCTCATCTTTGGTCTGACAAGATTGAAGAATCATGGCATTTGTATCAGTACGCATAGAAACTGCACCATGATTCCAGACCGCTCTTTTTTCACTCAGTGGCTAAATCACACACATATCAGCCATACTACCCTCAAGACCTTCCATGCTTTCAATTGTCTCAGGGAATGCCAAACTGGATCCCTACGGCCTAAACTCTGTTTGCACAAGAATTGGTGGGATTGAGTAGCAGCATGCGGAAACCACAGAAAGTCTCAGTGAGGCACAGCTCTTTCGAGATGATGCTCCACAAATATATATACACACACGCAACAAAAGAGATCCCTTGACTAGCGTCACTTGCCCTTTCCTTTGCCTGCACAGCAAGCTGACAATTACATGCATATCTGCAAAGAATACATACATCTGCGACAAATAAATCAAAGGTCAAAGGACTGAAGCCAAGACTGAGGTGTGATCATGCCAATGTCACACTAACATACTGTATGATAGTCAGTCATCACACACCATTTGCTTTCTGGGCAACGGCCCCACCTCTGCCCTAACTCACTTCTCAACAGCTGAATTACACTACGTAGCACTCTTTGAAAGCTGGCCTAAACCCTGTGAACCCCCACCTCCTTTGAAGTAGCCATAATTCTTGCCTCCACCGCCTCCACCTTTTCCTTTCATTCTCGGTTCCTGAAATGGCCCATGCTTTGGTGGTGTAGCTGTTGAGGCTGGACACGCACAGGTCGAAATGAAGTCTGGCAACAGATTGGTCATTGCCATCGGTGTACATTTGCATATGCATGTATGCACATGTATCGTGGTAGAGGTGCTGCTCCTTACCCACAGCCGACGGATCGTGCAAATACATGCAAAGTATGTATCCTGTAGCCATTCACATTATGTATGTTGTCCTGCTTTGATGTGGGAAACCATGATTCTTACCTTCCCCCTGCGAAAGGATATAGTTCCGAAGGTAGCAGTGCAATTTGCCTTCTGGATGATTGTTACTTGCGGTAAGCAATGCAAATTCTGGCAGATGAGGAGCATTTTGCCTGAGGCTCTGGCAAGAATGAGTGGATGAGAAATGAGAGCAAATGAGAAAAGCAAACACATTCATCTTAAGCTCTGACAGAGTAGAAGTCCAAGGAAACAACCCTGCTCCTGGGAAGATTCAGCGGCTAAAACAAGCCCGCACTCAACAATTGAAGGGATTGAAGGGCTTGAAAAGCCGACCGTCAAGACCCACACACGCTGGATCGAGGAGAATTGGTGGCCTTCATGACTTCATGGGGCAGCCACATGCAGGCGAAAGGTCTTCTGTGCACGCGCAAAGGAACGGGCACGCCAGTCGTCTCGGAGAAAGACCGCTTGTCTCACCCACGCCACTCTGGAATCTTTACTTCTAGCAGGACCAACGTGTCTTCTTGTTACGGGGTGTTACTCCGCGGTCAAATTAGCAAGTCCATTTCACTTGGCAGGGGTCAAGTATCCCCGCTCTCTTAACTTTGTTATCTTTATAACATTATGAAAACACGTGAACAAACGTGCGACCGCATGGTTTTCGTCTGCGTGGACGAGTCTTGAACCTGTATGTTGCGGGTATACCACAGCACTGGTAACTGCTTTACACCCTGCCTTTTCGTGGCTAGGGACTTGTCAAAAGCTCCCCTTGCCATGAAACCTCTTCAGTGCTCATCTTTTCAGATGCACCTACTCGATTTCAGGCTCGGGTTCATCAAGGACCATTGGGCCATCTCGACCTCGATCCTGCAACTCAAAAGCCGCTGCCACATCATGCTCTTCAGAGCTGCTGCTTTCATCTCCCCGTCTCCTTTGTCGTCTTCTTGGTGGCATCCTGAATTCCCTCCGCATTCTTGGTGGTCCCCAATTTGCAGCCATCCAGCCATCTGGCCATTCGCTTTCTTCCAAAGGGCAATTCACATCTTCATGCCCCTTCTTCACATGGTAGGTGTACTGCCTCAGGCTTCTGATGTAGTCAGTCACCTCCTTCCTTGTCTCTGCTCCGGTGATCATCAGCATCCGTTGGAGCTCTCTGAACATCTCGTATCCCGTAGGGATGTCTTCATCTGCTGGATCTTCTTCCATCATCTGGCGAAATTGTCTCACCTTCATGATGATGTAAACTTCAACGCCCACATCATTCTCAATCTGCTCAAGCCTGTATGCCTGATAGGCATCATCTTCCAGGTGTTCGTAGTCACCCACCGGCTCGATGCGTCCTTCCAGACTTCCATAGTCTGTCGTCAGGCTATTCTCAGATTCTTCATCTTCATCCCTCTGCCTTCTTTCCTCCTCTGTCTCAACTCTCACCATTCTCACATGCACTTCTGTCTCGCGCACATAGCCTTCATCGTCGATGTAAGAGCTTACTCTTACTTCACCATCCTGTTCTTGTGCTTCTTCTTCCATTTCTTCACCCCAAGGCGGGCCAACCACATCTCTGAAAGTTAATCCAGAGTTTCCTGCCCATTGAACCCACTGTCTTCCTTCAGGTTCTTCGCTTGTCTCATCATTTTCATGTCTGGTCCTGTGCCCTGATGGCCAGTTTGACCAACTCTGCCATTCTGTGTCTCCTTGGTTCTCCGGCCATCTCCTTGGAGCGTTCCACATGCTCAAATCAATCCTCTGTTGTTCTTCATCTGAGGTGTAGGTCTCATCACCTCCGACTGCACTCCTCAGTGCTTGCCATGACGTCACAACTCTCTTGCTGTGTTCTTCAAGGCTTTCAGCAAGATCAGGATTGCAATGCTCAAGGTCACAATGGCGATTGTCAATCCCATCACCACTTGCTCAAGAGTCTCTTTTCCTGTCTCCCTTCTCCCAAGCAATCCCTCTGGCTGCTTCTGCGGCTCCTCTGGAAAGCACTGCTGATCTTCTGCCGTCGCCAGGCCCAAGGTTGAATCTGCTAGCAACGCCGCCATCGTGAGCCTCAGCAATCTCTTTGCCAGCTGGTTCGCCTGGGTGCTCTTCTCTGGTGTTCCTTCTTCTGCAAACACCATCCTTCTCACCTCTTGCAACCTCCTCTTTTGCTCAGCCTGTGCTCTCTCTGCTTCGAATTCTGTCTTGCCAAGCCGTTGTGAGGAGTCTGTAAAGCCCATGATGTACATCAAAAGGTTGATGCGCTTGCCTCCAAGCGTCTTGGTACCTATATCAGATGGATTTGTAGCCGTATCCAATTTCCGCAAATCTAAATCTTTGCCTCTGCTGGAGCCATAGTAGTCGGCCACTTAGGTGCTTCAACTTTCCAACACCTTCCTTCTGAGCAATCGCTATGCTCGAACTGTTGTCGCCATAGATGACCAACTTCACCTGCTCACCTGTAAGGTGTTCGACTGCAGCTTTCAGCAACAAACCTTCTGAAGCTCCTGACACCAAGGCAACATACTCTGCCTCCGTGCTTGACAACGTGATGTTCTTCTGGGTTCTGGCATGTTCTGGCATAGGAATGAATCCAATTGCCTGCCAAGAAAATACATCCTGCTGATGTCGAGCTTCGTGTCTGTTTGTTTCCTGACCAGTCTGAATCGCAGGTCACTTCCAGCAACCACATGTGCTCTGCTTCTTCAAACATGGGCGCTGTTGTCAGACCTCGTGTTCTGTTTCTGAAAGAGTTGCTCTTCGTCTGACTTCTCATCGCCAAATGCATGTCCATGGTTGTAGCCAAATAGCCAACCAACTTCTCGAGAGCCTTCCATGCACCTTCTGTTGGACTTTGGAGTCGTCCTGCCAATTCTTTCACATGAAACTGGATGTCTGGCCTGTCACCGGCCATGTACAGCAATGTTCCAACTGCTGACCTGTACATTGGCTTCCTCCAGTCGTCCTCCTCCATGGTCTTTCCATCCTCAATTCCGGCTCCTGGAGTTCTCGATCTCTTCAAGGGACTCATCATCTTCACAAGGTTGTGGATGTACTTCTCATTCACCATCATCTTGGTTTCTCAGGCATCCACCATCAAAGTCCTCTTCAAGAAACTCAGCACTTGGTCATCCTCCACAGACACCTTATAGCGCTTCATGAGATGGTCAGTAACTCTGGCCACTTCTTTCTCTTCTCCTCCAAGGATCATGTCGTCGACATGGACTAGCAAGATCACATCTGGTCCTTTCCACAAAGTGGGCGCCTCAGCACATGGCGTGAGCCCTGCCTCAATCAGGCTTTTCCTTAGTTCTTGGAACCATTGTGCTGCACCTTCTCGTTGTCCTGGAAGAATCCGGCCAAGAATCCATTCCTGCTGGAGTCCAAGTCTTTCTGCCAATGCCTTGTCTAGGCTAACTTTCACCTTTCGTGGCTGTGCGCACATCAAATAGGCGTCCTTGACGTCCATAGTGATCATCTTCCAGCCTTTGACTTGACAAATGGCTGGGACCAATCTCAGGAGTGAATGTCCTCCCGCTGGTGCAAAGACGTCTGTCCTGTTAGGATCACACCAGGCAAAATCACGCGCAGCCAATCTTGCCCTTCTCTTCCACCTGTTTTTTTCGCCACCGCCAATCCATCACCAACTTTGTTGTGAGCAATGGAATGTCTTCCAAGTCATCGTTCTTTCCTGGTGGCAGTAAAACTGTCATGCCAATCAGCCTCTGAATCTCTTCCTTTGTGGCTTCATCTTCAATCTCTGCAAGCTCAGCCAGTGGCAACTCTGGAGGTTGATCTGGAAACTCCAAACTCTCATCTCCATCATACAGCAGTTCTCCAGCAACCACCATGCGAATTGTTGAAGCTGATGCTGGTTCCGGTTCATCCTTCTCTGAACTCGCTTTGGTCTTCAACATCTTCTTCGGTGCAGACCTTGCCACTTTCTTTGGCATTTCATCTTCCACATCTCCTTCTCCACCTGACCTCTTTGGACTATCCATGGGGCTTCTTCTTGGACTGGCTGGCGCTTTGTCAACCTCGCTCTCAACCATAGGCTCCTCCAAACTATCAAGCAAGTCTTGCAGCAACGTGTCATCTGTAATCACCAGGCCTCCTTCATCCTTTTCTTCATCTGGTTGTGTTGGAGTGTAATCACTCGTGTCTGG